TTTTCTGGCCACATTATGACCAGCTTCAGTCTATTGATGCCAACAAAAAGCTTCATTCGCAAGGTATGTACACTTTGTAGATGCATTAATTTTCTATCACTACACTAGATGCTAGAAAATTTGGTTAATTTAATATTTGTGCCTTCTGCTGCTGGAACTATGACTCTGAGAATGACAGCGTTTGAGGAATCAAAATTGATGCAAGGCTTTTGCCCGAATGGAAAGTGGAAACAGAACTGGTCTGACATATTTAAGTGCATGTAAATAGTTATGTTTAATATGCATAGCTATTATTACAATTGTCAAGCTGTTAGTTACGTGCTTTATGTGTGTTTCATTTAGGTATTATGGAGCTACTGGAAATCTCCATATGTAGATGATTGGTTTCTGATAAAGGACCATTGACTGGTATTGGAATTAAGATGATGTCATATTTGGAAATGGTAGATTTATGTGGCTATATGTTTAGGATATTTAAAAGTGAACCATCTGGTTTAATTGTTTATAACAGAGTTTTTATTCCAATATGATTTTGAAACAATATGGAACAATAAGGTCCATCCAACGATCATCCAATTACTCAGTACGGGGTAACAGAGAACATAAGGCAGGGGATCACCCTGCAGAGGATGCCTGACTGCTCTCTGCACACTCACAGAGGGACAAATCACAGGGCACTTAGATGAGTGACCTCATCTCATTGCATGTCTCTGGACTGTCAGAGGAAGCTGGGAACTCTGACACAGCATGGGAAGGACATACAAACTCCACACACAGAAGAGAAGCGGGATTGAAGCTCGTCCCAGGAGGCGTGAGGGAACACACTGAGCCACCTATGCTGGGCTTGGGACATGCTTGGGAGTGCAGGTAGGTCAGACTGCATTAAAATCAATACTTAAGTGTAATGCACACATAGAACATAATTAAGCAGATTAATCAGTTGAGGAATGCTTAAAAATGTGAACATTAACAAATAATCAACCAAACAAGGAAAAATATAAGAAAAAGTATCGTTTAATATTTTGAGCTACGAGTGATTAGTTTTAACTTCATAACATGCATGTTATGCTGTAATTAGAGACCTGGCCCTTTATCAGGACATTACTCACTGCTACTGTACCCATGAGCTGAGTGTTTACCTGAATAGTTTCAGTGGGTGTGAAATTACTGTCTATAATGAAGAAGTGCTGGCTTAGCAAAAAATCTTTCAAATGAAATAGAGTAACTAACCGTATTGGGGGTGTTACCTACAACCCCCATAAAAGTGCAGCTTAGTGAGTCTGCATTGTGAATCTTTGAAATATGTTCTTTCAAATTCATATGTCAATTTATTCATTTTAAGAAATTCAAGATGCTGATTTCATTACCTACAGCTCATGTTTTACAATATGAAATAAATACCATATTTAGTTTTAACGTGTAATACAATGTCCTAAAGATTTGCACATACCTCGCAAAACTCTTAATCCAACTACTACTGTAAGCAGTGGTTATCTAGATTCCTGCAGCTCTGTCCCAGTCAAATTTTATATTTACATTTATTTAATTAGTAAGCAACATATAACTGAGAGAGATAATACATCATTGGCCTGCATGTGTCAGGTAACCAGCTTAGGTACTTTGACACATCAAACAACCTGCAAAAATGTCTGAAATGACACTCTTATCTGTATGTAAATCAAATCCCCCTTTTCCTGGACATCCAAACAGTAGCTTCAAGAAAAGGGACCAAAGGGTTCACATTCAAAACAACCTTTGGCCACATTTTAGGCCTGAACTTCTGGTCTTGCGTGACATTTAAGTGGCAGCCCTGTATGTGAATTGACTGATTATCTGTATCGATGCGCTTCTCTTCTTGCTTATTAGTTGCACTGACCTGTACGTTGCTTTGGAGAATTTACATAGTAAACAAATGTAAATTCATTCAACTCTTCGAAGTGCTTTAATTTTCATATTTGGTGTCTTACTATACATATCCAGGGACTTCACAGGAGAATTGAAGGACCAGATGTGGACTCAGATTCCATGCTAGATTGTTTACTTGCTTGTGATCAGAAGGTTGCTAGTTCAAGTCCCATGGCTGGCAGAGTAATGTCACAGTTGGGCCCTTGAGCAAGACCCTTAACCCAGATTGCTGCGGTGGTGTGTTATTGGGAACATGATGGGACAGGCAAAAAGGACAGTCTCTGTATAGCGATGAATAAAGTATTTATATTCCAGTTTATGTCGCTGAATTCACAATGTGGCCTACAGCAAATCTCACCTGTGCCCAAACCTGTATATTCATCCACACTGTTGGAGAACATGGGAATATCACTAAAGTAGTGTTTCCCATCCGGGTCCTTGGGGGGCCCCAAATAGTCCACATTTATGCTCCCTGCCAGACAAACCACAGAGCAACAACATGGATTGTCTGCAGATTCCCGAAGACTGGAAGGTAATAGGATCCCTGAGCCTATCTGCACACCAATCATGACAGAGGCAAAGAAAAAGCAGCCCACATCTGTCAATCTAAATTAACAGCATCTTTAGATCTGTGGCATCAATCTCACTCTCTGTCACTGCATAAAAATACATAACTATTTATGATATAAGACTGTACTCATGTCAGGCTTGCATTTATACTTTGTATGATGTGCTTGGTCTTTTGTGAGCAGTTGCATGCCTTTTATTGACTTCATATGTCTGCATTAAGATTTTTTTTCAATTATCCACTTTTTTCAAAGACGCATGGAAACCTTTCAGTGCATGGCTTAAAAAGTTATTGGCCAATTAAGCGATTGGTCAATCATAAGACCTGATGGAATGATAACTTAATACACAATAGGTGTGATTCATCCTGTGTGTGCACATACTTAGAATGCCCTAAAGATCAATAGAAGAGCGAAGACTAAAAAACAGTATTTAAACAGTCAACACAGAAGTGTTGCCCTGGGCATTAATTCAGTTCAATAGGGGGCAATATTGGTTCACACTTCCTGGGCTGGGGGTTTGATTCCTGCCTCTGCTTTGTATATGAAGCTTTCATTCTCCCCCTGTACTGCACAGGTTTCCTCTCACAGTCCTATGAAATACAGTTAGATGAACATGAGTCTGTAAATTGCATTTACTGTGTGTGCCCTGTGTCGGCAGCCTTCTTTTACGTGTTTCCTGGGATAGACTCCAGCCAGATCTAATGGGGGGGGGGCACCCTGTTGCCAATCAACCTGCTGGCACTGACCCCTCCCCCCCTCCCCCACCCCTTGGTAATTTTTTCACCCCTGGCCAACCCCATAGACATTACTGCCCCCTGACAGTTACCACAATCATAAATTTCAGCTGCCTCCTGCTCTCCCTCCCCCTTAACTCAGGAATAGATAAATGGCTGGAAGATGGATTGAGAGAATATAAGGCAAGTGGGATGTTCCGTTTAGTATGCGAGCATTCTGGACAGCCTGTTCTCTCTCCTTTAGCATCCTCTGTGGAGGTGGCAGACATGTTCATCCTGAAATGGACTTTGAAAATGCGTTAGCTGAATGTTGTAATATTTCCTTTGAATTCAATTTAATTTCAAGAGGCTTCCATCCTTCCATCCACTTTCTGAAACCGCTTGTCCTGTTCAGGGTCGCAGGGGGTCCGAAGCCTATGGGCACAAGGCAGGAAACAACCCAGGATGGGGTGCCAACCCATCACAGGGCACATTCACACACCATTCACTCACACTACATCCACTCACACACTCACACACCATTCACTCACACTACATCCACTCACACACCATTCACTCACACTATATCCACTCACACTACATCCACTCACACACCACTCACTCACACACCATTCACTCACACTACATTCACTCACACACCACTCACACACCCACACACCATTCACTCACACACCACTCACTCACACACCCACACATCATTCACTCACACACCATTCACCCACACACCATTCACTCACACACCCACACACCATTCACTCACACACCACTCACTCACACACCATTCACTCACACTACATCCACTCACACTACATCCACTCACACTACATTCACTCACACACCATTCACTCACACTACATTCACTCACACACCACTCATTCACACACCATTCACTCACACACCACTCACTCACTCACACTACATTCATTCACACTACATTCACTCAAACACTCACACACCACTCACTCACACTACATCCACTCACACACCACTCACTGACACACCCACACAGCAGTCACTCACACACCATTCACTTACACACTCACACCTGCGGGCAGTTTTCAGCCTCTGCATGCTTTTGGACTGTGAGGGGAAAATGGAGTACCCAAAGGAAACCCCACAATGACCTGGGGAGAACATGCCAATTTCATACACGTGGTTCTAACCAAGGTCAGGTTTCCATGAATTCAGTTTAATTATTTTTAGAGCATGTATTCAAGATTCATAAATACAAATAATATCTGGCACTAATCTCACTCTATACAAACCAGAATTGGAGTTTGGCGCTAAATATGATACATGCATAGCTTATTACAAAGCCTCCGTTCACACACTATAAGCAATTGACCTAACTGCAGGACTGTGAGAGGAAATAGGATAATCCAGATGGAACCCAGCAAAGAGGTGTGATTCGAGCTGCCAACCTTAGAAATGAGGCAATAGTGATACCCACTGAAGAAGAGCTGTGCCTTCTAACCATAACCACTATCTAAGCTGCATAAACATTGCAGGTTGCATTATACCTTTGTAATGCAAAGCTACATTAAGCAATGCGTGCTTGTCACTGCCACGCATGTAAAACTGCCTATGATCCGAATAACTCTCAATTAAAACCTCAGAGAAAGTTTGTCGCTGCAAACCGCAAACTAATTTGCAATGAAACACATTCTCAAACCTGATGATGATGATGTTGCTTTAAAATATGATAGAAAAAAATAATATGTCCAATGCCATTGGACAGAGGGAGTGCCGTTCGCCTTCCTATTGGCGGGCTGTTGCAGTGCGCAATTCGATGACGTCTTTCATTAAACTCTCCACTTACCGTGCGAGGGTGCGAACAAAGTCTTTCAGTTAGGAACCTTTTGCGATTAGGCTGTGGTCGGTCCCCCCCCCCCTTTTTTTTTGTATTTGCGTGTTTTCAGATTTTTTCCAGCTTACTCCCCTTTCTCAATAAGTATTTTAGGAAAGCGACTCAGCGGGGGCTTAGCTACTGTATTCTCATAGGTAGCTATCTTAACGAAGTCACAGCTGCTGACCTGCCTGCAGTCAAGCTGCACCGGTAGCTCGCCGAAATAGTTTGCGCTGCCGTTTTCTTACTTGGAAAAGAAAATCTCTGCTACCTCAGGTTCTTCTGAAACTCAAGTGACATCTTGATCGTCCGACTGGTCGGCAGGACGCACTTGGGGGGGGGCTTTCTTTTTTGTTGCTGATAGCACCGTTTTCTTTTTTATACTTTAGAGAGGAAACGGATACAGTTTTCATAGCTCGCTGACTGTGTGCACTTTGCGTGCAGCGAGCTGGGGTTTTGAGTATTCAGATCTCGCAGAAGTCGAGGCACAGAGTCGGCTAAAACCAGCAGATCAATGTCCAGGGGTACAGGTGAGTGATTTTGTTTTGTATCGAGTAACGTGCAGTATCTGAAGGTGCATGATCGTACGCCCAGCTGTAAACTTGCAGTGCATTAACGTTTGCAGCTAGCTTAGATCGCATGAAACGAAGGTGGTTTCACATTCTGACTTGGCTAACGTGTGTGCAATCCTGATTTAGAGCCCGTCCCATACTTGGCTGTGGTTACCGAAGGTGTCGCCCCTTCCACGATTTCCTGTTGACGAATTTAGCTATACTCTTCCAGTAAGTGTAGCACTAATCTGGAAGCGCAACTGAATGGTTTCGTATTTGTTTACCTTTGGAGGCGCTGGTTTAGGGGGTTATAGTATGCGATGCGTTGGACTGTGATAGATGAACGCTGCCGGGCCGGAACACTGGTGCGATCTTATTGATATACTTATTGAGAACAACCTTAGGGACACAATGTTTTGTAAGTCGGCGTGCATTGGTAGTTACTTAGGTGAACGCACCTTGTTTGGTGGACGGGATCATGAGCACATCTGGGGCGCCAAATGAATGGATCGGCGAGGCACGCGAGGCGATGGGCCAGCGCGAGTCGCTGGGCTACCGTCACGTGATGCGTGCCTTAGTATTTATAGACTTTATTTCCTAGCAGCATCTGGTTATTGCCCGTGTGCATTTCGTTCGAGATGATTGCCTTCCTGCACATGGGCAGGCCGAGCAAATCGCGCGTCTGTGTGCATCGGACATTTAAATAAAATAAAATGTGGTTACTTGGTGACATGTGCGGCTCGCAGAGGGATACTCGGTCCTCGTGGTTCTCGCTGGGCTTGCATCGCCGGAGATGGCTGCAAGATGATGGTCACTGTCGGTTCGGTTAAATAAAGGTGTACTTATGTGTTACTCCTTCACATGATGGGTTTGGCGAATAATCTTGCTGCTTCCTCGGAATGGTAATGCTGACTCATTGCAAACTCAGATCTTGTGTTAAGTCACAGGAGCGAGTTTTTTTTCTGTGTGGGAGGAAGGAGGAAAGGCAAAGTATGTGAAACGGAATTTCGCCTCCCAGTGTTGGAGGAATATTACATGAATTTATTCCATATACTGTCCTGATTTGGTTTTTGGTAATACACAAATACAGATATATTTGCGGCTGATTTTTCTTTCTTTCATGGCTCATGAATTTTTGGAGTCTTAAAACTGCCAGTGTGGCTGCAGATTTGTACTGTTCAGCTTGGCTTCCTTGGGATGCACATTGAATTATGTTTAATATGCTTGATAATCTGGTGAAAATGCTCAGTTTACCCAGAGTAATTTGCAGGGGCTCATAGGACAAGTTGCATGACAATCAAACAAGAACACAGCACTGAAAACAGTAAAGGAAATACCATATTGTTACCCCCCCTGGGGGCATGATGACTGAGGAGAAGTTTAAGGGTAATATTTAGAGAAGTATTTTAAAAATGGCATGTTCAACAGATCGCGCGCGTAGCAGCACAGTTAACAGTTCTGCAGTCAAGTATTGATCACTGAATTAAAATAAATAACTTTGCTGTGGGATTTGTCGGACTGGCAAGCATTGCAAGCTTGGGCTTTGGAGTGCAACTGGTGACAGTTTCAAGAGTGCAGCAGACAGGCCATTCCTTCTGGTAGACAGCATGGATCAGCACCCATTAGTGGGAGGTCTGGGAAGGGATGACGGACATGTAGGCAATGGGGAAGTACAGATTCAGCAGCCTCTTCTGATGTGTGGTGATGGTGCTCGTCACAGACTGGTTCAGCTTGTTTCTGATTCTCGGTGTGACTGCCATTCTCATCTCCCCAGTACACGTACCTCCTGTGGAACACACAAGTGTCTGTACCATGTGGACTCGTGTATAGAATGACACTAATGCTATTTTATACTTTCGTTTGCTTGGTTTTTGTGGTGAATGCAGGCGACTCGTCTGTGGGAGTTCGCACGTCTCATGTTATGACACGGTCGTCCTACGCCTACAGAATCCTTCAGGTCATTTTTTCCAACTGGTTAGAGAATTAAGAGTTTTAATGGATTTAAATAGCCGTTTGCATGAGACCTTTTCTCCTTTATTGGTGACGCTTGATGTAATGGTTTGACGAAACAGTAAGTGACTAATGCTCATGCTGCTGTGGTGGCTTGAGGTTTCTTTAGCCGAATTGTTTAAAGAAAGTGTAAGATCCAATCTCGTGTTTGTGCCATTGTTCGTGAAGTGATGTCAGAGTCCTCCTCTGATAGATCAGGGTCTGTGCAAAGCGTAATGTTTGTTTTTATTTTTAAATTTTCGCCTGGGCGGGGCTATGCATTTCTGTGTGTTGATTCTTTGATAAAACATGTTCTTAAATTCAAGGGGAGCCGGGACTTTGCGGAAATGCAGGTGGTGCTGATTGATGATGTAACCCCTCCCCAACACACGCGCACACACACACACACACACACACAGTGGACCATTACCTGGTGTTGGGCGTGTTCCATAACATGGATTTAAGTGAGCCACCAGTTATCTAATCCCAGCAGCTGAAAGAAAAGGCAGTGGGGAGATTACCCCCCAGCATCAGAGCAGGAGGAGACACAGCGTGTGTGTCT